TGTGTTTTTTTTTTTTTCTTTTTGTACGGGATTTTAAAATATGAGAAAAAAATATATAGGGAAAAAGAGAAAAAACAAACATTCATTATTTTCCAGGATCTTACTCGGCAGTGTCTTCACTTGCACACGAATACGAGGGTATTAACTTTTAAGAACTTTAAAGATACTTTTAAGTAGAAGTAATTTACAAATCTTACGATAAAATGTTTGTTCAAACGTTTGTTCGTTTGTTAGCTTAAACTTTTAATAGTTTTCTCACGTTTAGTCCTAATCTAAGAAAAGTAACTAAAACGCTGAAAATCTTGAAGGGATTATATATATATATATATATATATATATATATATATATATATATATATATATATATATATATATATATATATATATATATATATATACACACACACACACACATACATACATACACATATAGTTGTTATAGAAGTAGCTTTTGTTTTTTTAGAAATTGGTTGAAATGTTTTTGCACCATCTGCGCAAATTTTATAAAACAGGAATTGATCAATAAATTAAATATCTGGTGTATTTTAACTTGGTGTTAATGATTGATTTTTTAACTACACAAATGGCATTGGATACTTGGTTCCTATATATGGGACACACTAACTTGACCTTCAAGTTGCTCCCGCCCACTAAGACAGGGCTAACGGGGGTGGGATAGGATAGAAACAGCCAAATAGCCAAACAGTCTAAAAAGAGTCATCCATTAGTTTTCAAAAAAAAAAAAAAAAAGCCATTTTCTTTAAACCCAATACTAAGTTTTTAAGTATTTTCCATTGATTTAACAGATTTGTCTTAAATTTTTAATTATTTTCCTTGTTTATGTTGTATTGCAGATCAACGCATTGACATTTGGCTTTTATTAGATTTAACAGACGCGTTCATTAGTTTTTTGCTATTCTGGATACGGCCTTATGTGAGGCGGGCTTATTTCGAAACAGTTTGTTTCTCTTTGACATATACAAATTTTCCCATACGTTATAGTCGCCTTTAATATATTGTTCTTTTACTTTAAATAATTTCAAATGAATGAGACCTAAAACGAGTAAAAGCGCTGGTATATTTAGTATAAAAACACGACTATTTCGAAAAAGAACCTTTTAAAATAATAAAAGGTAATAAAGCAACAAGTATGCTGTAGTCTCGGATATTATTGACCTCGTGCCGAAGTTTTACAAAAATAGAAAAATGTCTCATGGCTTAGAAAAGCTCTATTTGAAGATCTGTTGATGTGGTAAACATATTTTTTATAAAAAAAAAAAAAAAAAAAAAAAATATATATATATATATATATATATATATATATATATATATATATATATATATATAAATATATATATATATATATATATCAATATGCATAAATGCATATCTGTTCTTACCAGTCAACAGTAAAATGAAATAGATCCATTAGAAATTGTATTTACATACATGGTTTTATATAAAACTGGATTGAATGCTGCAAGTGACAATTAAACGAGGTTATTGAATAAAGCAAATGATAAAAAGAAGTGTTGATTTTCAAACTTCTTTATACATTGACAAATCTAATGCATTGAATCAAACACATTTTCCATCATTACTTCCAGAACCTCATCGTTGCAAAAGAAAATTTAGTTCTCACGCGGAAAGAAAAAATGTCTTAATGCCTCTATTTAAGCATTTTTAGGCTAGAAAATAATATTCATTCAATTGACAAATTACAATACAGCGAATTTACTAAATTCGTTCTAATTTCTGCGTTGTCTCAATTATTTGTATAAAATGACAGATTTTTTTCAGATAACTTACAAGTAAAGCTTTTCCCCCCGTGCAGTTGCACTATTCGTCTCCAGTTTAAGAGTAGCTAAACCGTCGAATAAGCGGAGTAATAAAGTTGTAAGCACGTTAAGACGAGCATATACACGTTTATAGAAATTCATAATACTCATAGATAAAAAAATATTTCTAACTTAAACACAAAGCCCCGTCTCACAGATCCACATATGTGCCCTGCAAACTACGCCAAATTGTACTTTTCCACGTTTCTACACGTATGTGATAGGAACAGATGAGATCTAGAGCACTTTGTAAACCACGACAACAAGTTTTGTGTGAAGGGCACTGAGGTGCTCAATGACCTCTGAGCCAGAGAGACGAGTCCTCATAAACAGATTTGGCTAGTCTCAAAGTCAAAAGCGCCGCAAGGGCATAAAATGCCATTGTTACGACTGCAGCGCATTTGCTTTTAAGGAAGCCAATAGACTTGACACTAACCTATAGCTAGAACCATCTCTGACCGCTTCGTTTGCTTTCGTCTGAGTCATCATTGACTCTCAATTAATTAAGATATTATAGTGACCGTGCATGTATATAATGTCAACATTTGAAGTGGATCAAAACCTTTTGTTAAAGTTGCCCTGAAACTATTTAACACCAATTCTCCTCTCAGGACAATTTCGAAAAACCTTTTTGATCCAGTTTAAACGTTGACTATATATACATACGCACGACGTCGAATAGTTTTGTTTAACACTGTAACATAACTCGTGATTACCATTATTAAAACTTGATCCTTAAATAAAGTACAAAACCTTCTCATAATTCTTCGTGAGCAATTAATATGTAATTTCTAATATTATTTTTAGTAATCTTCAGCAAAATAATATAAATTAAAACCACGAGCTGTGAACAATATGCTTAAGCAAGGTACAAAACGTATTTAGCTATCCACAGTTTCAAAATAGGCAAGCGAAGTATTACATGTCCTTGCAGTTAGTCCTCACGGGGCCCTGTTCCGGCGTCTGTTCCATTTATCCACTAGGTGGATGTCTTTACCATTTTGAACAACTGGATAAAGCATATCAATATTGTTGAATTACATGTGGCCATGTTGGCAAGCATTCAGGGTGCATTTTTTAGTTTTCTCTCGAGTATTAGAAACAACAAAAACGTTTTATGTCGTAACCTAACACTAAAAAGTCAATATGGTCAAAATGAGGATAATGCCAAACCCTATAATGCATATATCCAATTCGCAAATAAATGTTTCTGAAAACGGCAGTTCTCTTTCTGCTGCTGAATAAAACGTATACACATTTGAGGTAGAAGAAAAAACAGCAGATTGTAATACTAAGGCCTGAATTTTCAAATTAAAGACATGAGATAGGTAAATAAAATTAAGTTTAAAGACTTTATTAATCAGAAACTTTAGGTTACACATATATGGATACATTCATGAACTCGTAACATTATTTACAAGACATTTTAATCGCAAGATACAAAGGAATGCGACACTGGAGCATTCACAAAATTACACGGAACACAACACATAAAAATTATACATCAGAGACAATTTCACAAACAATCCAAAGAGGGGGAAACGTGACGATCATTGCTATATAGTTGCTGATGTTGTCATTCATATAATTGTATTTTTATTTTTCTATATTCAACAAAAATAGGACTTAAACCAAATATCAGTGGCTAAACTTTTAGACCAATAGCAAGAAAATAACGTAGCACCGACATCCGTCAATTTAATAATAATAATATTAATAATAATAATAATAATAATAATAATAATAATAATAATAATAATAATAATAATAATAATAAACATGTAAAACTATATTTGCGTGAAATCACATTGTAATATTTTTCTTCGCCATTTGGTTAAAACATTCTACTCAATTTGGTAGGTGTTTAAAAATAATACATGCGCCTTTAGAGCAAAAATAGACAGGAAAAATAACTGTTTTAACCGTCTAACTATACAGTCATTATAATCATGCAGCAAATATGAACTATTCCACTGGCATATAATCCATGATCTGATTAAAAATTTTGTTAACAATGACACAATGGGTTCCGCTAATTAACAAAAGAGGCTCGTAAGTATTGGGATTTAAATCTGATCTCTTCCGTATGATTGCTAGTTCCATAACACTAATAAATGACTTAATCTTTGTTTGAATTTATCATTGCGCGTCTTCATAATATTACCTGACCATGCATTTTTCTCCCAGAAGCATTGTTGTGACTAATTAATTAAGTAGACCTAAGCAGATTTGTTCAAATAACGCAGATCAAGGGACAAGCAATAGTTAATGGGATATTTATGTGGTTAAAATGCAAATATGATGGACGTGAATATAACGTGTTTCACTATATCAGGAATAAATATTTTATCAGCAGGAAGTCGCATTTAAGCGGCTTAGCTGCAGGCCTACCAATTTACACTTTGGCCAATAGTTACAGACAATCTAGTTGAAACATTTGTCAGAATGACATTTCACATGCTAGATCAAAGTCTATTCATAAAAGCTGTTCTGTAATTGCAGTTTGGTTCTCAAGGGCCCAAGATACGAGTTGGGTCACTAACTTTGTGCCCGTGACCGTGAACGTGCCATAGAACACGTGGCGTTGACGGCGGAACGGAGATAAGACGCTCCCCACGCTCCTTGTTGTTAATTATTGTTACGTTTGAAGATTCTTTCTTAAAGAAAATTAGCAAAATAAAACCCTAGATGTAACATTAAGAACAGTTTAGTTTTCTTAAAAGCAAGCATGGCGTTTCAGTCTTTTTTTTTAGCTTAGAATACTGATCATGGCACGAGTGTGTTATAAGTTCAAAGGATGTTTTAATGCTCCGAACAATAAATATTTAGCGATCATTTCAATATCATTAAGACTGATAAGAAAACATTTTACTTGCCCGAAATGCTATCTCACAGCTTATATATCTCTACCATTTTTAACAAGCAGTTCATTATTTAATAAAGTGAAAGATGGCTTAGACAGCTCGGTACTTTTCAAAACAGACTTAAACATTCCCACCGTATACATGCCCAAAATTACTGGACACAAAACCACTTAAATAAACACTAGACCACATAGTATAAGCAAACCTTTGGAGCCATCATTTGGTCGCGTACCCCTTATATTTGAACCCTTGTTCGCGTTTTCTGAATGCGTCATGGGGCAAGACATTCAGAGTAAAATGGGCCAATGGCAGATTACCATTAACTAAATACTGTTGTTGGGCTACCATTAAGCAATGTATATTTTGTGCCTCCTTAAAAGAAGGACAAAGCCTGTTCCCTCAGCAACAGTCTCTTTTTCTTCATCCGCCGATTTTGGAACCAAATTTTAACCTGTTGGTCGCTGAGATTGAGCCTGTCAGACAGCTCTCTACGTCGCTGTCTGGTGATGAACTCGTTCAGCATGAATTCTCCTTCAAGCTCGGCCAGTTGCAGTTTGGAATAGGGTTTTCGTTTCTTGCGGGTCCGGGTGTGCATCGGGTACCACGGGGCACCTGGAGAGGGCATAGCACGGGTTCATGAGAGTCCTTAAACACAACTAGGCCAACACATACATTTATCTCCACATCTTATTGGCACTAAAATACAAAGTTATAAGTGCATTTTGTGATGCTTTTTAATTAGACACGATTTAGTGACAATCTGAAGTGTATAAAGTATGCTGAATATGTGTCGCTTCCATTTTTATGTAGCAAAAATCTCCCCGAATGCTTTACTGTTACTTAAAAGTAAATTAACGCGTTAATTGTCATATTTGCAAGAACCCCACCTATTTAGCGGTTTCAAGGCATATTAAATTACTTCGTGCAACACGCACAACAGATATTAATTCAGTTTACGAGTCACTAAAACAAAGGTCCTCTTTTCTGTCAACAGAGCAATTGCTTTTTCTGACATTTCTTCCTCTCACTAAAACAACGCTTTAGCAAAAACTACATTTATCAACAACAAAAACATATTTTTTATGCAAAAAGCGTCAAACATTTGCAGCGGGATGGCTGGTTTTTATGATGTTGTGTTTACTGGTTGTATAAATGACTGAGCGCTTAAACTGGTGAACGTGGAGCATTTTAGGGCAACCCCTAGTGGCCTTGAACAACCACGCAAGATCCATGCAGGAAAATCATAAGAGTTGCCAGTGAATGCCTTAACGAACTGTCATGCAAATAAATTAGCTGGAGCACAAATACTAGTAATTATAATACTGTGTGCTTCTGTTGTTTTTCAGCTGTGATTGAATGCGAGGGACAAACCTCCTCCACCGGCGATATTGCTTGCGTGGTTTCCTTGCGATACCAGGGTTTGTGGGTCGCTTGCTGAAGTCTTTCCTCCTTCGTTTAGCACCGAAGAACTGGAGTCGGACTCCAAAGACTGACAGGATGGCGGGTCTTGGGTCAGATGTTCGGTGCCATAATCATACTTTGAGAAGGTGCCACTGTTGCCCATCCCATTGTGCATCCCGTGATCAGACGATACTGATGTATCTCTTGCTCGCTCCTCTCGTTTGAGACTGTTGTTGTCTGAACACGAATCTCTGGTGCTGCTGGAATTGCCATAATAACACTTGCTTTCCTCCAGTCGGGTTATTTCACAAGATCGATTAAAAGAGGGGTTAATAGATACGGGACTGCTAAAGTAAGACTGAGGATATCCATTGCACGACTCCGATGGATTCCACGGGAGAGAGCAAACATTGTCCCTTCTAGGGTACGAGAGAGACGGTAGCCCCGCCAGCTGTCCCCCTGAGGCTCTAAAATTCGGGAAGTAAAACCTGTCTCCAGTGTGGATGTTTACCAAAGGTCCCACAAACCCAGGATTAAGAAGATTATGCTCGCCCATTTCCGCGGGCCAGACCAACAGCTTCTAGTTTATTGCAATCTGACATTTAACGTAGTTAAACCTGGAGGTGCACCTGATTGGTCATCTCCACGTCACGTGCCGGAGCTTACTCGAACACTAGAAGGTACCACCCACTTGGTGCTTTTCAGACAAAACAAAACATTAACTTCTGTAATACGTGTTTTATATGCTTTTTAAAAATTCTATAAAATATCTTATTAAAAATGTAAAATCTTGTTTTCCTTTTCCCCGAGCTCAAAAGTTCTAAACTGATCCTCTTTCGCCTTTCTGTTATACACAGAAGTGTCCCTAGCCTCGTTTAATCTTTACTGCAAAGCAAAAAAAAATAAATAAATAAAATAAAAATTACAAAAATACATATATTTTCCCTACAAAATAAACGTTATTTTTCCTTTGAGGAGAGGTTGCCTTCGACTTTGTTTTCAAACAAATTACGGCTGAATTCAGTGTCATATAAAAATGTGATGTTCATCTTTTACAGGCTTGTTTTAAAGAAATACTGATGCTCAGTGCTGAACTCCACTCATATTTACTGTAGTGGGGTCAGCAGGTTGAAACCATTGGCTCCGTAAAAGATGATGATATTCTATAAGAAATGTTTAAGAGCGTAGCCTATATTTTAGATAATATGCTCTAGTACACCTCACATGAACAACTTTAACAGATACATCCTATAAATACTCGCAGTCAAACTCATGGTAGATTGTTACACATCTCGCAATTCTTTTATTTGAATTTTACAAGCTGGCAGAGGGCATTAAAGTGATTGTGCCGCACCAAATATACCTCACTAGATCACATTAATTGATTTTTGATTCTAAATATATAAAGTAGACGCAGATTTTGATCATATCAACTGTAACTCCCTGTCATTGTCATATGTACATTATCTGAGAATGTAATTCAGGCAAAAATAAAGATTAAGATGACACAAGTCTAATGAGAACCCTGCATTAAATACCCTCCTTCACATTGGGGTCTTTAGCAAACGCAAAGCTGTTGTAATGGTAATTCAGTGGTAGTCTAAGCTTTTAGAACTTTATATTTTATGTGGTTTGCCTACTTTATTAATAGTAAATGAATACACTGATATTTTCAAATGAAGTGGTTAATGCAAAAATCAACAACACTGTTTGACTTATAGCATCTTTAATCTCCATTTTGAAAATAAAATGCGAGCAACTATAAAAGAGTTTTCAGATGTGGATACAGCTGTCATATTTAAAATTATAGATTAGAAATATATTATGTAAATATATTTTATAATTTTAAATTTGGATTATGTATTTTTTTTATAAACAATTAAAAAATCTGTTTACGGGTTTGCGTATATAGACTCTTGCGCGCATGCTGCCACATATTTACTATAACTTAGCAAATTGTATTTGCTTTCTTCGTTAATTTTAATACTGTAAGTTTTATATTTTTACATTGTTTAATGCACGAGTATTTATTTAGCACAATAACTTTGCGTTTGCTGACAATTTAAAGCTCGTGTCAGTGCATGTGTGGGGGCGTATTTCTAATTTTGATTTAAGGCCATCGTATTTATCTTAGCATCGATGACTTTCGAATAAAACTAAAGTAAAATAATCACATGAAACTTCATTTATGTCGAGAGCTATCCAGGCTATAAATGCAATGATACTGCCTAAGGAAATCCGTTGTTCAGCTTTTCATAAACACTGACGTAACGGCTATAACAAAGTCTCAAAACAACCAAAAGACAACAAATGTTGTCTTCTAAATTGCCCAAGGATTATTACATCCAAATCTGAGGCACACGTGCATGTTTTACGGCTAGAGTACTCCATACCAGATTCATGTAACTAATTAACATGCTATGCAACACTCCGTGCTTATAAATTTAAACGCTTTTGGGTATTTTCTAAAAATGTCTGTTTTTTCGTGTGCTAAATATAAATGCACTCACAAAGTTAAAAGCTGCAGAGACGTGACATTAAGCTACCAAGTTAAGAAAAAATAAAATGCTATTTAATACACTTGTTATTATTGGTATATTAGTATAGTCAGATAGTTTGTTCTGAGCAGTTTTAATAAGGATACTTCATTTTTTACCCCCAAGAGAAAAACAGAGTTAAACAAGTGATTCAGAATGTTACTACTTCCTGGAACTTAATGACATTTCAATTGCTTAATTCAGTCACAAAAATATTCGACTTAAACAACCTGACAGTCTTAAATTATCCAGCTTAAAAGTCCAAATAAAATATTATATTTGCTTACCGTAAAGCTAGCCAGTGGAGATCTCCAAAATCTCTGGAAAATGGCTAAAATTGTTGTTAGTTCAAGGTCAGTGTCTAGTGCACTGTCTGCGCCGCTGTAAGATTGCTGTCTTGGAATCCTTTTCCGTCCAGACAGGGCCATAGCGTAAACAAAGGCCTTTTTATTGTCTTTGATTTTGGAAGACAGGTTGGTTCACTGAAAGCCTCGCAGTGAATGTCCTACGAGGCCAATTTCTTGAGAAACAAAACCGTGCATTAAATGTGAATTAAAGGCTAAATACTAGCTCTCGGATACTCCATTTGAAGAACTGAAAGTTTGATAATTCAATTCAAACATAGTATGGTATGGTTTTGTATTCAAACATACTTATAACCCAATGATACCGATGCTAACTACAGTAATGGTAAATAAAAATAAGTCACAATTAATCTTAATTGTTTTAATATAGCTTTAGAATTAAACGTAGATAAGTAAATATGCGACCAATACAATTTTCAAAAAGGGAAAAGTGTGTATAACAAGACCGCACAAATGTAAATCACGTGTTTACACCACTGCATATGCATCAATTAAAAACACTAAAACAAAATGGGGGGTAAAGTCAATATAAGCTGAGCTTAAAAAGACAAATTATTTGTGTAAAACGCATAGGCATACGGGCGTAAGAAAATTGCAAACCTGAAGAAGCTTTCTGATTTAAAAAATGTTTATATATATATATATATATATATTAATTAAGGGACTATTATAAATACATTTTTCGAGCTTAGAATATTTTCGGTTTACAAAATACTAACATAAAACATTTAGAGACGCAAATCATTTAAATCTAAGTAACATTTTAGGAGATGCAATCCATCCATAACAAAGCAAATAAAAAAAAATAATAAATGCCTATCATGGACAGCTTTGTATCAAAACGGATTTATTAAAGTAATTATACAATGCAGAGTGTGCCCGGTTTTTTCGTATGGCTTTTTGCAAATAACTGGCCGATCAAATATGCAAACAAAATATGCTACATGTAAATAGTTTATTACCAATCACATTTTAAATTAAACACGCAAATACAGCATGATGTACTACGCGAAACACAGCGTGTTAATGTAAAGACCGGTGCAAAGCATATGTCTTCGTGTTGAATCTGCACTGTTCACTTCCTGATATTTCCACCATACGCCACCAGAGGTTATCAGCCCCCTTTCTCCTCAATCCTCTGATCTCTCCCTTCACATTCCAGCTGGTCTGTTTAGAACCGGCGTAAAATAATAACCTTAAAGTGAGCGCGTGCGTTTGATTGAACCGGCCGTATGCGTTATTAAAATATATATTACTAACATGTCTTAAAATCACATATTTGGGAAAACACATTTTTTGCTCTAAAATATGGAATAGGTAGGAATATGCGCCAACCAAAAGGGTAAAAACGCTTTAATGAGTAGCTATGCGCACGCTTTATTATAGTATTATTAATTGTATGTCTATTAGTTATCCTCATGTTTAAACAAATGTGAACAGTAATCTAAGTTGATCTTTGTCAGTTTTTTTTGTGCTATAACGTTAATTGTTGAGTTTATAATTAATTAACTAATGCCGTCATGGTAGTGAGAACAATCTGAATTAACAATAACAAAATTTACATAAAATGATATGTTTTCTTTAAATAAAAAGCACAATGCGTCCTTTAAGCAATTTAAAAAATATTTTAACTGTAAAGAAAATAAATATTCAAAGAAAATAGTGCTAAACAAAAAGCTACGCAAGTGATAACATTAATCTGTGATAACTTTTCTGTTAAAACGTTTTTTTATCCAGTTTTCTGTTCAGATTAGCTTTGTTTTTATTAGCTTTAAATTGTATTCGGACATTACAAATAACTCATTTTACTTTTTACAGAAATTATCAAATTATGTAACATTTAAATATGCAATAAAATATATTAAAACAAACAAGAGCATTAAAAAAATCCAAAGCAAGTTGCCAAGCTTAAAAGAAATGCATATTGCAATGACATTCTCTTTTCTCGACATTGTATACAATCCATCTATACGTATGTTGAACATAGGCCTTGCGCCTAACCAGACACAGAAAATAGTTGCTTGGCAGAACAAGTGTATCATTAAAATACATAATGCATAAGATAAATTTATACACGTCTGCACTTTCATTTTGCGTGTTCACACAAAATAAATAAACTAGCCGTACCTTTTTACTTGGCCTTGGAGAGGATGTATCTCTTGAAATTTGGTAAGAAGTACCCATCATTCCTCGGCGCGCCTATAGAAATAACACAAGATGTCATCTCGTGAGCACTGTCTTTTGCAGACGTAAATGCACTACCTGCCTTCGTGGTCAATATAACATACACCTCATGATGAGAGAATACATCCATTGGTGGTTTAAAACTTATACGGGCAAGGGATCGCGGAAGAGAAAATTTTACAGTGGTGTGAGAAGTTAAAAAACGGGGTAGAGAAAATGTACATCGTATACATTTTCACAATGACAAGGATATTGGATAATCTGAGCATTTTCCCTTTTTATGCATTTATGGTATGTCATTAACTCTCGCCGTCTAGACAGGGAAATAACACCTTGTTTGCCTGAAAACAAACCACGGCAGTGGTGTCCAGCCCCTCTGTTTATTATTCACAAGACTCTGTGATGTCAAGGTCAAAGCGACTGCATAGTCATGGTCAAGGGTAAGGCGCAATCACGTGACTTTAAAACCTAAAGCTTAACTATCATGCAATTAGCATACGATTTCTCAGTCTTCAAAGTAATCCACTCCATCGCAATATACCACTTATGCTGACAGCCGACTAAAAAAAGTAGCCAGTAACCGGGTATGTCTCTCATCGGTGTTATACAGAGATTAGATTTTGGTGAGAAATTATTTAGAGTTAAATCAGAGTTTATTCCATTTACATAAATAGTTTTGCTAATATACATATACATATTAGTGATTATTCAGTTCCAAATAATTTATTAGCTTCTGTGTTTTTTCCAGACGAAAAAAAAAATACATGCATGCATTTATATTTTATGTGTAGGGCCCTATACAGTTGTGAAAAGTTGAAGTGGATCACTTTTCAAAATTGAACATGAAAATGAATCAATACGGGTACATAGCTTGGTTTTAGGATATGTGCGTTTATGTATATATATATATATATATAACACACACATCCATGTGTAGGTGTGTGTGTATATACGTGCGTGTCTGTACATATTTGTGTTTGTAGGCCTACGTATATTTTACAGGTATTTTTCAATATAAAAACTCACAGAAGATATTTTACATTAAGTAAAAAATACATTTGAAATTCAAAAAACATTTAGACCACTCTACTCTAGGGCTAACTGCATTTACGTGCTTAAAAGTCAATGTTTGACCAGTTATGTTGAATTAAATCTCCTCTAATTATTCCGGTACACTATATACCTCAATTATTCTTTTTTATATATTGTTACCATTACGTTGCACTATTCATTGAATGCATACTTTGCCACCTGCGTCAGAATTAAAAAGGCGCACCAGAGCAAAAATTACTTTTACAGTACTTCGGGTTTCTTTTCCATGTATGACGGTGATATTTCGACCATACCTTCAGTGTCTTGTTTTAAGGTTACAAAAAAGTTACAAAAAATTTATCCTAATCTATTTACTGAACTGTATTAGGTCAAAATGTTTTGGCATAATCGAATAGTTAGTGACATTTCATGCTGGACTTACCACTTCCACGTTCATTCCTCGAAAAATGTAAAACGACAGAATATTAAATCGAGTAAGACGCACCTTACATCTGCTTGTATTAAAATGTATAATATTTAATATAATAAGTGTAAACATCAATTGATCAGATCTGTATTTATAAACACTACAAAGTTACGAAGAGCATAAGAACTGTTACCATTGTTTTGTGATATTTAAAAAATTAAGCTCTACTTGAAGCCCGTCGCATTCTGATTCAAATGAAATTCAGCATTAAAGTTTGGACTTTTAGCACCTAGCAATTAAACAATTTTAAATAGAATTTAGTTTTCATCAATATAATATAATATAATATAATATAATATAATACCAATAGGCTACTGTCTATACACAACATTTAGCAGACACTTTTTATCCAAAGCGACTTAGGAATATAAGTATGGAAATGTAAATACTATGACCAGTTTGTGTATATATATATACATACACACACATACATACACACACACACACACACACACACACACATATATATATATATATATATATATATATATATATATATATATATACAATTTTTTTTTTTTTTGGCTTACACACACACACACACACACACACACACACACACACACACAAACACTTGTCTTAGCATTTACATGTACATACTGATATTCTCACTTGTAAGTCGCTTTGGATAAAAGTGTCAGCTAAATGTGTAAATATACATGTGTATATTTTCAGCATGTAGCCTATTTTTAGCAGCCCTATCGTTCTATAATACTGATATACACAGTATACATGCATTACGATATTGAATGAACGTCATTCATTTTACAAATATTTACCAAACAGTAAGATCGTAAAAACGCACATATACGATGGAAAAGATGGGTTTTCCATTTATGTACGCCTTAAACGGTCCACCGTCACTGATAATTGAAATGAAATGCATTGATTGACCTCAGGTAGCATGTACTCAACAAATTCCATTGCCATTTTATTTATGAAATATGCCTCAATTCAGTACTTTAGGAATTGAACACCACAATACAATTCACATACTGCACGAAAAGAGATACAGACAAGTTGTGTGAACAGCTCCAATGCTTTACGATATATATTTCTATATAAAAACAAAAAGGTTGTGCATTAACTTTTAATACTAAATGATTTTTAAATGCTTACAATCATTCCAGTTGCATGGCAGAGTCATATCCTTCACTGCTAATAGGGACACATACAAATGATCTTGAAACATTCCTTTTTTACAGACCGGTCATACGCGAAATCTAAATTAAATAACAGAAGCATTAAACTGTACAGTTAACATAGCAGCCTGGTTTACCCTCGGCATTAAAAAGCAATGTATCCCACAGTGAACCATTTAGCTCGCAGGCTCATTCTAGCAAATCTGTCATCTCCACGTAGCAATTGACGAATTCTATTCGTGACTCAGTTCAGTTTTTGCTGTAGCCTTTCGAGATTGTATACAAGTCTTGATTCACCCAAAGTGTCCTTAAGAATTATTATTATTTCTCTTCTCATGCGTATTGAGCCCATCGAGTGTGTTCTGCTGGTTGGCTTTGACGCACACATGAAGAGATGTAGAAGGTTTGCGTCTCCTTGTATTTTCAAATGCACGTAAACCATGTGTCCCTTTGATATTTGTGTAATTTTAAATATTTATTATTTATATATGTACATTCATAGAAAAGGACAGTTGAAATGATTTTTTTTTTTTGTATTTTCACAGTTATGTATCTTATGCCCAAAAAGCCAGAGAGATTGCGGTAATCGTGTGTACGTTTTAAATTAAATAAAGTGAAAGAAGACAGGTTAGGCTTGGGACTGCCCGGATGATTGCTGAACGGAAGTAAATATCAGACGTTCTGGACGGAAGGATATAAGCTGGCGAACAAAATGTTCGATACATACATCAAGTATGCATGTGATTATTAGTCTTTGATTTACTGACGAACTTTTTTTCCTTCACTCTGCGGTTCTGGAACCAAATAGTAACTTGACGTTCTGAGAGGTTGGTTGTCGCAGAAATGCGTCGTCTCTTGTCTTTGGTGATAAACTTGCTTGCTGCATACTCTTTTTCTAGTTCTTTCAGTTGTATCTTGGTGTAGGGAACACGCTTTTTGCGCCCACGTCGATAACTGCTGACTTCTGGCTGCAACGGAACAACATCTGAAAAACAAAGTAGATTAAAACATTAGCATCACCTGTTTGCCCAGTAAGGCATGTGTAGAGGTGTTGTCTATTTCAACTCAACGGGAACACCATATTTAATCAAGTATTTAATTGTTACGTCAAATTATTTCATTGGCTGGGGCCAACGCTGAACAAAGAAGCAGTTATGCTTCTGCTGCATATTAGTTATCTGAAGCAAAAATAATAATATAATCTTAGCTACTAATATATACCTATTGACGGGCGAATTAAAATGTTCGTGCATTTTACAATCCGCCGATTTATCTATTATGTTTTCAACATTACAGTAGCCTGTGTAGTAGTGTAGCTTATAGTCAACACATATATACTGATAACAATAAATCTTAAGGAAATTTTGGATGGATGAGGTTTGAACAAACAAACAAACCATCCTCCATAGTCTCGTTAAAACATCTGGATTGTGGGTAACAATGACAAGTGCTTATCAAACTAAATTTCCTTAAATACAATGTAATATATCCTAATTATAATGTAATAAGCAAACGTTTTGTATTATTTTTTCTTAAAATCCCTACCTGTGAAACTTTAAAAGGTAAATAAGGCTAGAGATATTATTCTAGGCAACTGAAGCACTGTCACATTCAGATGTGTTCTAGTATTTTCTGTTATTGAATAGGTGCATGTCAATTTTCCTCATGTATTGATTATTGCCTAACGCATCCAAACACACTGTAAAGAACTGATTAAGATTATGCACGAAAACAGCACTAGAGAATTATACAAAATGAAAGTAGGTTGTTTTAATACATCTTTATTTTTGGCTATTTGATTATAAGATACATGTGAGCTTGACCTCCTCTAGGGGGAGGGTTGCTAAACGGGTCAGGGGCGTGTTGGTGGTGACAAGTATTGACTATAGCCACTATAATATGACAATATTTTGAGTTTAACACTAAAAATACAGTGACCTATCAACATAGCACTGGACATTTTAATTACCAAAGCTTAGTAACAATGACTGAATTGTAAGTGGAATGATTAAGTTGGTATATGCATCATAGGCAATATTTTGCCTACACCAAAAATCAATAACTTGACTACAGAACGTCAGCTGCTTTTAGGAAATAAAAAAAGGCTGCTCCATGGTATTCGCAAAATGTCCAGATTGCGGGGTACCACTCCCGGTCACTGCTGACAAAGATTTATATGCATGTTACAAATAACATTAAGCATTATCATACTGGAGGAGCAAAGGTAGTATTGCCATACCCCAGTTCCAAATTGCGTGACTTTCCTAGCTTAAGAATCCTGTGACTCAATGTCAGAGTTAATGTGTGACTAAACAGATACGTCACTCAAATGTTGTACTATTTTATGTGAGATGTTGTAACTAAAACGTACATGCAGGGCAAACTAAACTGTCTTGCTCAAACTTGTTGAGTTTAGGAATTGCTCACATTTTGTTCTGGGATGCCAACTGAACATATACCAAATGTCAAGTGTCACTTGTCAAAAACAAATAAGACAAAACAAATCTGACAGGTTTATGCAGAGCTAGTGGATGCGCAGTCATAACCTGTTATGTGGAGATTTGAGTAGACATTTCTAAATCCATCGATGACCTTTAGACAACAATGTATTTTTATGCAAATATTTAATTAGGTCTAACTATTTGCATGTTCAATATACAGACGTTTTAAATTGTATCTTATCATAACAATAAGTCCTATAAGCAATGTTTTGCATGTCACTTATTTATTCAAACTTAAATTGTTTCACAAGTGTATAAGACATACCTGGAAAGGGAGATTTCCAAAGATGAGAAGACTGTGTTTGCTCCTTTGAACAGTACACCTGCCCATCCCAGCCATTCGAGAGAGCCCAGTGTTGATAGCCCTCCATGGGGATCAATGCATCGTGACGTGGCTCGGGATGAGCGCTAATACTCGGAACCACCGACATATCTAGATATCCTGGAACAGCCTGGTAAGAGCTGGCAAAACTCGGATAGAAAGCAAACTCTTTTGCCCGGCTGGAGAGCTCCTCTGTGGGCAAAGCGCTGCTCGTCTCGGCATATTTTTCTGCGGGATGGTATGAACATGGTTTCTGCTGCAAGTTCACATTGTGCGAATGAGATAATCTGCAACCATAGTAAGGGTTTCCAAAGGGGTAGCCGTAACTCAGAGAAGCGCTAGATGACGTCTGAGGAGCGGGACACTGTCGCCCAGTTTCAGGGGAAGATATATCCGAGTACACGGATCCCTGGTGAGTCGCTATGGTGCCGGAATGTCGCCCCAGCGCGGGGTGGGAAATCAGTTCCCTGCAATGAGTCGCAGGGCAATTCCCGCTCAATCCTTCCATAATTTGGCTTTTATTTTGATTATTTTCATTCGGACTTTTTTCATACACGTACATCAAGGTGTCCGCCCAGCGTGGATGCAGGACCAGCGAAGTCGTCATATCACGGGCTGCCGATGCTTTTTAAAAGTCGCCTACTCCAAGACTGATACCTCATTTCCAACTACATTTTACGCACGCGCATGCGCAGCGCTGCATCCATGTGTCCAGTTCATTAAAGCGCTGGCACGTGATATGCTAAGTAGCCCGAAGAGAGTGGGTTGTGGGTGGGAGGAATAATCCCTTTAAACAACTACTGGCTCACATTTCACGCCTGGCTTCTAAGGTTTTCGTTGCCCAGGCATTGGCTAGAAGAGTTGGAGACAGCCATTCTTAAAGGGGAAGGATTCAAGCTAAGTGGAACGAAAACAACCTCAACATTTCGGCCGACTTAAGTCTGGACACTAACAGCATGATTTTATTTTTTAATTAACATTCCAGGGTCAACAATCTCAAATATGTAACAACATAAATACATGTATGCATGCAAGCAATCCTATAAAAATTCGAACCTGAATTGTATTACAGCATATTAATAGCATAAGCATATTATAAGATTACTCGATAGTTATTTAATTGTAATAAAAACAATCGATCGTCAATAATATGGAAGAGTGGATACAATAACAGCTCGATTTACATATAGGAAAACGCAAGATATATTTGCGCAAACATATGTATTTATTTCTATGCTGTAAAAATATACTGGAAGTATATTTCCAAAGCAAAAACTAATAATTTGAATCTTTAGAAATTATGAAACATAATGGATAAAAAAGAAAAAAAGTCTTACTCCATCACGTAGTAATGTTTTTATAAAACCAATGGTCTGTAAGAATGACTCTTGTGCGCTATTATTCTTTGCTCCATGTGTTTCTAACTCAAATTTATACAAGTATTCAAGAAGTACATTAAGTTACACAAATTTAATTTTAATCAATGTTTTCTATGTACCGTCCAGGTCTAGCACCGCATTGCTGATGCATACGAACGTGAGCAAATTAATAACACTCAGAATTCTAAACACACACAGCTCTCTATCTATCTATCTATCTGTCTATCTATCTATCTATCTATCTATCTATCTATCTATCTATCTATCTATCTATCTATCTATCTATCTATCTATCTATCTATCTATCTATCTTGATGGATACACACACACGTAATACATTTCCCTTTTCATAGACTTCTTACAAAATGTTTGCACAATATGCAATGGTTACGTAGTTTCAAAAAATGCTTTCCAAAAAGTATGTTAGTAATACACTCTGTTTTGTATGTTGTTGTTTTTTGTTGTATTTGAAGACCATGGTATATAATACAACCGAATATTTAATTAGACTTGTCACAACAGGAAAGAATGCATCGCCACTGGATCAGTAGATTTTCTTCCGGTCTGATGTTGCACATTTACAATGCAACGTTTCATGGGGAATGAATGAATAAGAGAGTCTCATACCCTGTTAAAACATTTCCTCTGTTGTTAGATTCAAAAGTATAGCGACGAGACAAAGATAGACGCTCCTTTCACATGACAGATAATCTGACTTTTTTTTTTACATTTTGGACAGTATTGTGTGTTTTTTACGCTAGATATAATGTTAAAAAGTGGATTACTCATTTTTTCCAAAGAAAAAAAAATCATCGGTGTCTTCACAGACCGAAGAGAGGACAGATCTTACAAACGGCAGCTGCATGGAAGTCCAAGGTCAAGGTAAAAAAACGCAGACAAACAGGGTCGTAATCAGAGTCTAGACAGACAAGAATGAACTTCACACTCGTATGCATGCAAACTCGTAGTTTGAAAGACTTTGAGAGGCAACTTGGGAAAGCGGAAAATAAACTTGCAAACAATCCAAGTCCCAAAGTAATTTCTACGTTTTTAATGTGGACCGGCAACTGTTAAACTCTTACGAGTAGGAAGACAAATACGACTAACAATGCAGAAATCCCCTTCCGGTGAATCTGCTTTCTTCCTTCTGTTAAGAGTTCCTCTATGTGACATGTTAATTATGGAGCGTCTAGCTTACTCGTCTGATTTATATTTTCCAGATTTGTTGACATTAATCAAATGAGCTATTCAAGAACCACGTTTGCTAAAATACACAGGAAAAAATATTAGGCTGATGCAATAGGCTATGTGCATGGGGTTCTCCGCCAAATCAACAAATTGTAAAATGTGAATAAAATCAAAATCTAAAATAAACTAAACATGCAGCAGTTCTGGTTGAACATTTCATTCTCCATTTGAAGCTTGTGCAATAAACAAGTCATTTTAACATGGACGACATTTTGAAAAAGCTTTGATAAATTTATTACCAGTTGCAGCAAATGTATAAATATCCGTTCTACTGTTATAATATACATAACGCGACATAACTCTTTTTATAGTAAATAAGTGACATCAATGACCATTACTTAAACGCATACATTAACAGTAAATGTTTACACGTTTGGCCAATTTTAAATTCAAAATCGCATTTTATCATCAACGTTGTATTCATACCTTGTTGATACTTCTCACAATATATATTTTTAAATTAATAAGTTAACAATTTAGAAGGGACTTAATATTTGTACCTTTGCCGTCTATTGATGGATAACGTCCATTTTATAGAAACATGTACAGTTTACATTTATGCATTGAAGGCGTATCGCATAATGACAACAGTCCATACTATTTTGGAAATGTTTGCAGTTGATTTAAAATTACACGTTATTTTCTAATCAAAATCTATCATATGAATTCACATTTTTAAAAGTTAAACATAAGATGCAACACAACAACATCACAGTTCATAATGTTGATTTTGAGCACCGTATGAAATACTTTAAAAAAGCGCCAAAGTGGCAGATTTCGAGTCTCAATACGACGCCTTTAAAACTGTGACAACGTCATGCTGAAAGAGAATTTGGTGAGGGTCCTTCTTCTGTCTAAGTGAGCCTGTGTGTGTGTATGAACAAGCTTTTGTGACTTTTAATGCGAGATAGCACCTTTGTACTCTGGATTATTGGTTTATAAAGTATTTCTACTTTATTTAAAATGAATGTACTGGTGAAAAATATTCCAAATTTACTTGTTTTCTAGACACTGATAAGACTAGCAAATCGATCAATCAAACAATCAATCAATAAATCAATAATTCTATCAACTAATCAATCAAATGAAGTTTTAAACACTGAAAATATAAAACAAATCTAGCAAATGCAAATCTGGTTTACAGGTTGCAGCATTCAACTGTTACAGTGTATCTGCTGCGCTTTTCTGTCACTGCGTGGTTAAATCAGCAAAATGGTTATATGCTGCAAAGTCACAAATGTATACAAAAATGTTCCTCTACATGCCCGTCATTAAATCGATGTTGTAGAAGGAACACATTTATTATCGATAGTCAAATAAATAAAATTGTATTCAGAAATCTCACAATTTTGTCATTTTGAATGATGATTTTTATCCATTGCCATTTGTTTTAACCCTATAGTTTGACGTATGTGGTGTATGTTTATGGTATATACAGTTAAAGTTAGAATTATTCACCCCTTTTGGATTTTTTATTTATTTATTTATTTTGTAATATTTCCCAAAGGATGTTTAATAGAGTAAGGAAATTTTCACAGTATGTTTGATCATATTTTCTTCTTCTGGAGAAAGTCGAATTTGCTTTATTTCGGCTAGAATAAAAGCAGTTTTTAAATTTTTAAACAACACTTAAGGACAAAATTATTAGCCCCTTTAAGCTATATATGTTTTTCGATAGTCTACAGAACCATTGTTATACAATAACTTGCCTAATTACCCTAACCTGCCTAGTCAACCCATTTAAACTAGTTAAGCCTTTAAATGTCGCTTTAAGCTGTATAGAAGTGTCTTGAAAAACATTTAGTAAAACATTATTTACTGTCATCATGGTAAAGATAAAATGAATCCGTTATTAGAAATGAGTAATCAAAACTATTAGGTTTATAAATGTGTTGAAAAAAGGTTCTCTCCGTTAATCAGAAATTGAAAAATAAGCATGGGGGCTAATAATTCAAGGAGGCTAATAATTCTGACTTCAACTATCTATCTATCTATCTATCTATCTATCTATCTATCTATCTATCTATCTATCTATCTATCTATTTATATATATATATATATATATATATATATATATATATATATATATATATATATATATATATATATATATATATATATATATAAATAACATACACACACATACACCACCATAAGCATTTGAGATGTGTAAAAAAAACAAACAAACTGCAAGGTACTACATTTTAGCATCGTTTTACCATCTCTCTTTCTCTCTCTATCCACACCTATCTATCTATCTATCTATCTATCTATCTATCTATCTATCTATCTATCTATCTATCTATCTATCTATCTATCTATCTATCTATCTATCTATCTATCTATCTATCTATCTATGTTTTTCTATGTACATTTACAAAAAAAAAGTCTTTAATGCACTAAACCTTTCAACTTACCTGCTATACAGACAGCGCTGTTGGTCTCTCTATTCATTTCTCATCATTATTGTGCCCATTTAAATAAAGTAACAATGAAATTTAAATAAAGCATGCGCATAACAAAACAAATTAAGAATATCTCGTCCCCATACAAAAAATCAGAGCACCACACTTGACATTCGATTGGACAACAGATTTAAGTTGGCTCATTTAATCATACATTCACTTAAAAGAACAGGAAAACAGTTTTGCTGGTCTAAGTTTTTTTTTGTTAATGAGTCAATCAGTGATTCAATTTTTGAGCTGCATTGTTGCGACTTCGTGGATCTGACATTATCGTACAGAAAAATAGCCATAGCTTCGCTAAAAAGGTGGACTCTGTTCCATGTGTACAGAGAAAACATCCAGAATTTACACTGTAGCTTAGTCGGGCAAAAATACATTATAATGGGTATATCTTACATTTAAATTGTTTGTCTTAGTGAATTGATATAAAATATCCAAACACGATAAACTTTCCATTATTACCTTGTGCTGTTTTAGCTAAACAAAATCTGGCCTGTAGGTAAAACTGATGCAAGTAACACAATGCCAATCTTATGGTTAAAATGCATA